TGGGGTAGGGATAAGTACTAGATGAATGGAACCGGCGAAGAGGGAATCTGTCTGCATATTTTTCTTTTTTTTTTTAAGACACTCCTGACCTAGAAAGCTAACAGTAAAAGCTTGGACTCAAAACTGTTTTAAATATCTAAGAAACCTTTATAGTTTCAATGACTGGGACCAAATATAAAATTATAGAGGTATATCCATGTTAAAATAACTGACGTAAATATGGTTTATAAAAAAAGTAATCTAAGAAAAGGATAAAACTACATGGTAACGAAAACGTGACATTTAACAAATAATTAAAAATTAAACAAGCCGGCGTCTTAAATAAAAAAAAATTGGGAAAAATATTTATTTAGTTTACTATAAAAATATAAAAATGTATTTGCAAGTGGAAAACAAAAGCTGAAGTCAAATAATGGAATTTCTTTAAAGATTAAGTAACTTATGTATATTACAATATATTTGCTAAGTAATTTTAAAAATATAATACAAAGTTTATTAAATAAAATATTACTGTGCAAAACTTTTGTAAATAGTATTTTAATTTCGCAGATTTTTTTTATTGAGTTTAATGCGTCGACAACTAATGGTCATTGGCATGGTACAGTGAATTTTTACAGTCAGGTACCTAGTGTAGTGTGTGTGTGTAGGTGTAGAGTAATTGTCTTGATACTTAGCAAAGTCGACGTCATTGTCTTTGCTAAGAGACGCTAATGGTATTCGAACGTCTGCGGTCCTTCCGGTGAGTACCGATCGCACAAGGATAGAAACTATTTTCATTCTATAATTGTTTAATAAACGAAAATTTCTCCACCCAGGTGAGATTCGAACTCACGACCTTTACGTTAAAAGGTAGGTGCTCTTACCACTGAGCCACAGAGGGGGTTTTATTTCGCAGATTTAATGACAGTATAATTCGCATTGAAGCTCTTATTTATTATTTATGTGTTGTTTTTAATAATATGATCTGCATTTTATTGCTTTACACGCTATACTGAAAAGTAGTATATTATTTGTCGTAGTTCTTCAATCGCACAACCGTTTCCATCTCTCTCTGTTGTCCTGTTCTCCATTGTTTAGGCCTCTGTTACTCATGGCGTCGTCTACTTCGTTTCTCCAGGATCTTCGGGGCCGTCTTTCTTTTCCTCCGTGTTATGGGGCTCCATTTGGTTATTCTCTTTATCCATCTGCTGTCGCTAGTTCTTCTCACATGTTCATACCACTTTAGTCTTTTTTGTTCTATATATGTCAGTATGTCTGTTTCGATTGACGTTCTTTGCCTTATTTTGTCATTACTTCTCCTATCCATTCTGGTTACTCTGCAGTATCTTCGCAGGCATTCCGTCTCTGTTATTACTATCTTACTACTGTTTTTCTTATTTATAATCCAATTTTCAGCTCCATATGTCATAATACTTCGCAGTAATGTTTTATAAATCTGTGTTTTTGTCTTTATATTTAGGTATCTATCCCACCATACTGACTTAAGTTGTCAGATTTGCCATAATCTTCGCTTAATTTTTTTTTTGTTGTTACCCCAAGTATTTGAATGAATCCTTTGCTTTGATTGTTACGTTGTCGTCAATCTATAGATCTTCTATGTCTTCTTTACTTATAGATATGTACTCTGTTTTTGCGAGATTGATATCTAGACCAGCCTTGGTATATTCTTCTTCAACATGTAACTGAGGTCTTCTTGGTCTTGTGCAATCACTACTTGATCATTTGCAAAGATTAACGTACATAGGTATTCGTTTCATAAAGGTACTCCCATAAAATGAAAAAGAGTAAAGATTCGATTTCGCGTACAAAGCATTTATGTATCTATTTATATGTATTTCGGCCTAATAGGCCTCATCAGAACAACTATTCATAGGCGTTCTCAACGCGAAAAATAAATCTTTTCTGTCTTTAAGAAGCAACATTAAAATGTTGAAGAACGTTCATACCTAAACAGTATTCAAAAATATAAGAATCATACATTGCTAATAGATATTTCAGAGTAAAACAAGAAAAAGTGTACACCGATTTAAGGGAAATCAAAGTTGGCGTGCCACAAGGGAGTGTATCAGGTCCGGTACTGTACCTATTGTATACGTGTGACATTCCAGAGCTAGAACAAAACCATTTAATGCCACCTTCGCGGATAATACAGCCATAGGAGACACTAGCCAAGAAGCGACTAATAAGTTGCCGCCTTCTCCTCTATACTTTATCCTTCATAAGGATGTGGTGACGTTATGGTATTTTTATGGTTGCTATCCATTCTTTTCTCCCCTGGGCGCGGTGTGCTGCCTCAGACAGAGAGTAACCGGTACCGCACTTTATTTGGTCTGACCATCGGAGCGGCGATCTTCCTCGAGTTTTACCATCTACCTTGCCTTCAACCACAAACGTCTTCATGCTTTCCATTCGTCTGGTAATGTGTCCAAAGTACCTCAATATATTTTGGTTGATGATTGTGGTATGCCCAGTATTGATGTTGAGTTCTGTCAATATTGAGACATTTGTGCGATGTTCTGTCCAGGGCATGCGCATCATTCTACGATATAACCACATTTCAATGGGGACTTTTTAATGGTCCAAGTTTCTGACGCATAGGTAGCGATAGGAAATATAAGCGTCCAGGCGCAGCTTCGTGTTCCTGGTTATGTCCGTAAGTAACTAGGTATAAGTTGCAACGATCAGTATATACAATACATACCTGGAGCAGCAAATATAGAATAAAATTAAATGAGACTAACTACACACAATAACTTTACAAATAAAAAATTAGAAAATTTCCAAAGGTAGAATAAATGATAACCAAGTTCCTTATGCAACATCATCAAAATACTGGAATATCACCAGAGAGAAGACTCATAAGGACAAAAACATTTGAGTTAGTGTAAATGTGTAGCAGTTTAGTGTAAAAAAAGCAGAGTATAGTGCTATGATATTATTGTTCCTGATGTAAATGATATTACTGTTCCATTCCAGTCTGTTCATTTCGATATTAAGTTTATCATGGTGTATACGTAGTTGATGGTTAGTCTCGATTTTTCAATATTCTCTGAGAAGAGAATAACTTCTTCGCAGTTTCGGCCATGGAATATGGCTCGTAATGGGAAGCTAATAGTTCGGTGTGGATCTAATTGTACCTGATATCATTCGCATTGTCTGGTTGCAATTGGGTGGCAATAATCTTCGTCTATTTGCTATTAAGTCATACCTATGAAGAATATTCAGCCGAGTATACAAGTCCAAGAGCGGATGATCTGAGTGGGGAGGCTGAGTGGTACCACATAGCTTTTGGACTATAGAGTGGAACCTCGATTATCCGTCTCTCTATTAACCGTCACCTCTGTTAACCGTCAGGGTCCATACGTAAGTTATATTGACAACATAAGTAAAAATTTAGTCATCAATTCATTTTGTTTGCAAAAAAATTTCCACCAAAGACGATTCTCATTCGGACAATACACCTGCCTATCCTAAAGCCGGAATGCTGCGGAGTGACGATAAAAATATCACGTACTCTTTTCTGCCTACAAATACACCATTTATACAACCAATGGATCATTCGGTCATTAACACATTCAAAATAACACACAGCAAAAAATGTATTCAAAACCTAGTTATGGAAGAGTAATATCCTTTGCCAGAATTATGGAAAGCATACAATTTAAAACACGCAATCGACAATGCTGTGAATGCTTGGGCTGATGTTTCAGAAGTAACGCTGAAGACAACCTGCAATAAATTATGGCTTGAATCAACTTATGATGAAAATGCTCCCCTTAAATGAAGTTATGGCTAAATCAACTGTTTTGTTTTCGTTGATGAGGACGCAAACGGCTATCGATTGATGACAGACGATGAAATCGTTGAAATAGCAACAGAGGCGGACGAAACTGATTCAGAAGCCGACTTTGATGGTGGCGATGTTGATGATGCTATTACAAATCACAATGATTTGCGCAAAGAGGGAGAGAGAGATCTCCGCAAAAAGAAGCAAATAAGGTAGATTTAATGATTTTACGTCGATTAAGAAATTCAGCAGTTGCAAAATGTTAAGTAACAATAATACAAAGATTTCGCAATAATTTAAATCAAATTAATTCGACTGTACTAACATAAATCTCTATTATATTATCAAATAAAACATACAAATAAAATTTGAGAGCTATACTATGAATGTTTTTTAATGTTCTGTTAACCGTCTTTTTTCGATTATCCGTCATACCTTTGGTCCGGTGCCCTGACGGATAATCGAGGTTCCACTGTATTATTTCGCGTTTTCAGTTTTGCTGCCGTTCTTTGTAGGTGTTCTTTAAAACCTAATGTCCTGTCGAGAGTTGTGAATCGATGTGAAGACCATAGATAAAGAATATATATGAAGACCCGCTATTCAATGGCGCTACTCGTGATGACTGCATTTTGTGGCAGAATTTTACTATAAAATACACTCCAGTATACAAGCTTCTCTTCAAACAACGTTTACTTTGTTGTTGTCTACTATTTGTCGTTTCCAAGAATTTGTTTTAAGGATTAGTAAAAGATACTGAAGGATTACTCAAAATTGACTATGCAAACACCCAGAAGATTTGTATTTTGAACGTATTGGAACAGCTAACATGGTAACAAAAGTTAAAAATAGAACAAATAACATTAAAGTACTTCTACGAATATATAGATAAACTTCCATTTATATAAAATGAATGTGTAAAACGTTATACATATGATAATTTAAAATTGTAAACAGATGTTTTTAAACTTTAGATAAAACTCTCAGTGGACAATAAATTGTCTCTCATATTTATTTTAGTGCCAAACTATTTCGATTCTAATTATAACTGATTTGGTTTTATTAATTGATTATCAGAACACGATAAAAGGGTCGCGTCATTATTTAAAGTTGATTTTAATTCTTTTTTAAAAGTTTCTTAATAGTTGCTGTGTGTGTCAGTCAATAAATCTCTGCGATTGTTAATGTGTTGTATTTTAGAGAACAAAACACTAAAATGGTTGTTGTAAATACAAGTGGAAGTGCTCTGTATCAATACCTAGCATGTTATTCTGGTAAGTAATATATTGTTAATATTATTAACTGTTAGATATATTGCGCCACTTTCTATTTTTCTTTAACTGTATTTTAACAAAAATTAATTATTTTTGTTTTTTTACTGTTTTCAGTAAGATATTTTTTTGTTTTGGTCTTTTATTTATTTTATTGGTTATTACATTAGCATGTCTTCTTCTTTCTCTTGTTTATTCTAGGTTTCAGGCATTCATTCCTTGTTATATGTTATATGTATCCATAGTAGTGTTTTAATTTCTCAACTTCTTTTTTAATAGTTTTTGTCTAGCTCCTTGATAATATAATATACCACACATAGCACCTTAGGTCTCTTAGATCTCTTCGCAAATATGCATTTATAATGTTCTATTACAAATGAGTGGTTTCCAAATTATAAAGGACTTCCGTGATTTTTCAATTTTTGTTATTAGCTATTCAATAGAGTCACCATTCACATTTAGCTATTTGCTTACTACTACTAATTGTTGGTTTGTAACGTTCTCCGCAGTTTCCCGACTTCCCATCGCCACTTTGTCCGGTTATTACATAGGTCTTCTTCTATGGCCCTCTCTCTCAGTTCTTTATTTATTCCTTCGCTCCAATTTTTTTTGGATCCACCTCGTTTTCTATTTCCTTCTGGTTTTCATTTTGATATTTCTTTTAATATTCGTTGATCATCCATTCTTTGTATGTGTCCGAACTAGATAAGTTGTTTTGTTGTTAGGTCATATGTGATTGTTCGTTTGATTCCCATCATTTCTCTAATGCGTTCGTTGGTAATCCTTTCTCTTCTAGATCTTCCTGTGGCTCTTCTCCAAAAATCCATTTCCGTCGCTTTCAGCGTTGCCAGTGTTCTTTCTTTCAGTAGCCATACCTCACATCTGTGTAAAGTGATACTTTTTACTATAGTCTCATATATCACTTTGTTCTTAAAATGTTAATTTTGGGGCACCTTCGACAACCTACTTCATGACCTGACCAGATTTCATAATGTTGGCAGGTTGTTTTAAGTTCTTTTCTAAAATAGATGTATAGATTTTTTATATTACAATAAATTACCATGTCAGCCTCCATGATAATTTTTAGCCTCCATGAAAAATGTTAACCAATTAAATATATTTCTGTTTATTCTCTTTTTCCATTCTTTATTGTTTTTAGGATCATTTTTATTTATTTGTAGTATGTACATCCTCCTGGCTATGCATGCTTTTATAATATCAATAATTCCGCTATTTTTGGCCGTCTTCTCTTTTGTTTCTTTACTGTTTTAATTTGTAATATTTTCTTTGACTATCTTTTATTTTCCATCATTATCTGTTTTGTCATCCTCTCTTCTGTTTCTTTACTCTTTTTTGTAATATTTTCGTTTGTAGTACGTAATCTGAATTTCACATTAAGATTTCTGAACGGTAGAAGTGGCTTTATTCGTATAAATGGTGCTTTGCCAATCTGTATTCACCTGTTTATTTTTAGCAGAATGATCATTGTTTTTATTGATCAAATTGCCCAAATACTGATATTTTCTACTTGTTCTACTAATGATATATCGTGATCTTCTGTCTTTCTAAAGGATGTAATTCTTGTATCTACATCTCATCCATTTTTTTTTTGAAAAGTTCTTTAACGTACTCTCTCATCTTCTTAATTTCTTGGGTAAATCTATTAGCATTCTTATCTTCTTATCTTTTATGTTTTTTCTTGATGTCTTTGATCCATTCCACACACTTCTCTTATTTTTTTGTGCATATTTCTCGATATTTTCCTTTATATTTTCTTCTTTCTTTCATCTTCAGTAGTATTTCTTCTGCCATCCATTGTTTTTGAACGTCTGACTTGTGTTCGATGTTCTGACTTGTGATCGAAAATGTTTGATCTATCTTCGATCTTATCATTTGTGGGAACATAGTCTTGAACTATTATTAATTTTGCAACTCCCTGCTTGAAGTAAGGTTATGCATATGATAAATTTTGTTTTCCCCAGTGTAATACATATGATGGTTATAAATTAACATTACTCCATTTTATGTTCATTGTACATCGCTTACACCAAGTATATTAGCCTCTCTTTCTCTGGCATAATGATATGTATTTTTTCAAGCTGATACATTTCAGGTAGCTATTTTTTACTGAGTGGTTGAGTATATTTTTGCTTTTGTGCTCATGTTGACGACCGATGAGGCCTTGCATTCTGATGGTTGTCTTCCCTACCGAATTCCTATTACCATAATCAATATTGTCTCTTGCGAAAATAGTGCTAGCTAGCCATTACATTTGTACTAGAGATGCCATCAGGTATCTTTAATGCAGTGGTTTCTCGTTACATTCTGCATTCTGATGCCGTTGCCACTGTCTTGGTTCTTCCGCCTTCGAGACCAACTTCTTCGAGACCAAGTCTCAGGATAACAGAGTGCCCGGACTAAGGTAGCGCATCACTTTCTTGGGAATAATAATGCAATTTATTCTTCTACCCTATTGCATTGCAGTATTACAACCATTTTGCTGTTACAGCTTCACTTGTGAAAATCCAATGATAAGCCGGTCCAGAATCATTTTGTTTGTGCCTTATTTCCGATACTGTTGTTAATTAAAACTATTTGTATATTAGCCTAAATAGTACATAAATAGAATTCATTTAAATTTGTTTAAGTATATTATACTATTGTTTTATTGTTTTAAATTTTTAGCTATACTGGCAATTGTATCCAGCGGCTTTCATTACGGTTGGCCATCACCAACATTACCAAAACTTCTAGCCGAGGACTCCCTAATTCCCATAACCGAAGATGAAGGATTTTGGCTTGCCACTATGCCTTTATTCGGTGCTTTTGTTGGTTCGCTTACAAATCCGTTGATAGTGGACAGAATAGGAAGACACAAAACGATATTATTAACATCAGGGCCGTATCTAATGGCGTGGATTATGATCTATTTTGCAAGAAACGTTCCTATGATGTATATTGCGAGGTAATATTTTTGTTTTAATAATATTTAGAAAACACAATGAAATTAGCAAATTTATTATTGATAATACATAGTAAAAAAACGTCGAACGACGCATAAAATGTCATATGGCGAATGTCACATAAATGTCATACGTCATATATTTGTACATTTGCTGGAGGTCTATGTCTAGCGGCAAGTACAGCAGGTCAAGGTTTATCAGTAGACGTTGCCAGGTGCAGCGAAGATACTACATCGTAGGAGCGGAGAAAATGGAGGAAATGGGAAGAGGCCACAGCAATTAAGGCGAGAATAGAACAAGCTAGAGCAGCATTTAGCAATATGAGAAAGCTCCTCAAAAGCAAGGAATTGTCTCTTTCCCTAAAACTACGTTTAGTTAAATGCTATATTTTTCCGATCTTACTTATGGTGTGGAGGCCTGGAGACTAACTAGAAACTAGAAATAGAAGCATTTGAAATGTGGGTGTACCGACGCATTCTTCGTATATCCTGGACCAAATATGTCACCAAAGAATCAGAAAGGAGAAAGAAATCGTGAATACAATTAAACAAAGAAAGCTTGAATATCTAGGCCACATATTAAGACACGATAAGTACCGTTTGCTGCAATTGATTGTCCAAGGAAAAATAGACAGTAAGCGAGGGCCAGGCAGGAGAAGACACTCGTGGCTCCAAAATCTGCGAAAGTGGTTCGGGCTCACATCAGTCGAACTATTAAGAAGCGCCGCAAACAAGATCAGAATTTGCCATGTTAATAGCCAACGTTCGCAACGGACGGGCACTTGAAGAAGAAGAAGAAGAAGCAGTGGAGTGGGCGTTACTACGTATCGATGGAAAGAGCGTTTTGACGTCACCTGAGAGGGATGGGTATGCCGATTCTGGACGACGATGGAGGCCAACGAATACATATGTCATGATACGTTGGCATAGAACCCTCTGACAATTCCAGTGGTCTAGAATTATCTGACAGTTCCAGACCACGTTGGACTAGAACCGTCTGAAAGTTCCAGGACACTGCAATAAAGATGTGTCTGGGATCTCTCTGAAAATTCCAAGATCCCATTGCGCTAGAGTACTTTACAAACTTTTTTATCTTTCTTTATGTGGACAAAGGCAACATGCAGGGCAATGTGCAGTGCGAAAATGCAAATTAAATGGACAATCATATTTTAACAGGTCTTTTAGAATCTACTCGTGTTACAAAAAATTTACCTAAACATATTATGACTTTCTTAAAAAAGTAAATCTGTTACATTATATATGGGGGTTTTAGTATATGGTTAAGTATTTTCTTCTTAGAGTGCCGTCTCGCTACGGAGGTTGGAAATCATAATGGGTATGTTTATCTTTGAATTTGCTGCTCTAAACAAATCGATCGATCTGCATTGATAACAATCATGTAGATTCTTCAACCATGAGTTTTGCCTTTGGCCTCATCACGTGGCTTAGGTATTAAAGTTTTCTGGTTTGTATAGTGGTGATTAGTTCTGTTTCTTTACCAACCCGCTCCAGTACTTCTTTATTTGTAATTCTATCAGTCCATGATATTTTTAATACTGCGGTTATAACCAGAGTTCGAAAGCCTTGATTCTTTTTAAATTGCATTTTTTTACTGTCCGAGTCTTATCTCCATATAATAATACATATAACAGCGAATGGTACGTAGTCTGATCTTCAAATTAGATTTTTGCACGTTAGGAGTGGCTTCATTCGTATAAATGCTGATCTGGCAATCTCTATTCGCCTGTTTATTTCCGCAGTATGATTATTGGTTTCATTGATCAAAGTTCCCAAGTACTGATATTTTTCTACTTGTTCTATCACGTTACATTTATTGTCAATAGGTGATGTATATTTTGTGGTCCTTTTGTCATTAGCATGTGCTTTGTTTTTTAGAGTTTATAATAATTCCGATCTCAGCACTATTCATACTTAAGCTTTTGATAAGATGTTGTAGATTTTCTATACTCGTTGCTATGATCACAGTGTTGTGTACGTATCGTAAGTTGTTAATTAATTTTCCGTTAAGGTAACTCCCGCTTTGATGTTATTGAGCGTATTTTGAAAAATTTCTTTAGAATATAAGTTAAGCAAAACTGGCGATAAAACACATCCCTGTCTAACTCCTGTACAGATTTTCATTTCTTCTGAGTGTTGCCATCAATTTAAACTATGGCATAATATCCTCATCTAGCATTGGTTAAGTATACCGGTTAATATTTTATATTCACATCACAGCCAAGGAGGTTCCTCTATAGTTTTGACAGAGAAGTTTGTCGCTCTTTATCAAAAAAATACTATTTTAAAACACTTTTCAAATCATTAAGCAAAAATTATATAATAAACGATATAAATAGCATCTCAGTTAATTTAGATTTAAGATGAAGTTCAACATGACGTATGTTATCATATATTTAGTATATATAAAGATTTTTTACCCCTATCTTTTTGGAAATATCATACAAATTCCAAAATAAAATCTTGACTCTATAAAAATTTATTTTTTGATAAAATTTTTTGATCTTATCATCTAATTGAAGAATGCATTAAACTTTTGCAAAAAAAACTTCATTTTGATGTAAAGATAATAACGGACTATCTCAGGAAATAGCTCACATATATTACTAACATTTTTCAGACTACATACTTGAAACAAATATTCCACTTATGTTTTTAAATTGGCGATATTATGCTGGCAACATAATCCTGATGGATTATATAAAAAATAGTTAAGTATTTGACTTCTAGATACTCATCGTGATTGCATTTGATCGTTTTACTAATATTATCTAAAATCTATTGTGTTTTATAATACAAATAACTACATTCTAGTGATTTTTTAAATTCCAAATATAAAAAAAATATTTCCTGATTTAATATTTTAGCTGTTTTTAATTTCAACAGTACATTTTTTTTAATCTGTTTTTTATTTTGCTTTGGTTTTTTTTGGTTAATCTTTTTTTAACACCTGTTCCCATAATAAGACATGGGATATAAGGAGAATTAATTTTTTTGTTTATTATACTTTTGGTAATTTGAAAAAGTAATAAAAAGGAAGCCTGAAAAATTTAAGAAACGAAAAGGCCCAACAAACACCAAAGCACATAAGGAACAAAAAAGGAAACTTACTGCATGACAATGATAACATCCTAGATAGATGGAAGCAATATTTCGAGGATCTACTGAATATCCAAAACGATGTAGACATTATCACAGAAAAATCAGAGGAGGTAGAGTAAGATGACCAAATTCAAGACAAAATAACTATAGCAGAAACAAAAGAAAATCGTACAAAAGCTTAAGAAAGGTAAGGCGGCTTAATTTGATAAAATCACAGCAGAAACGCTTAAAAACATGGGCGATAAGAGCACTGAACTGCTAACAAAAGTATGTAATAGGGCATGGAGTGAGCCAAAATCTAAAAGATTGGGAAATGAGATTTATTCTACCCATTTTCAACAAGGAAGACAGAAGCGAATATAGTAACTACAGAGGAATAACACTACTGAGCATCTCATCCAAAATATATGAGAGAATACCAAAAGTTGATTCTAAAATGGAATAATCACAGAGTGGATTTAGGAAAGGCAGAACCATCCAAGATCACATGTTTACTATCAAGAAACTAATACAAAACGCACGGAACTCAAGCACTGAGTTTATACAAGCCTTTATAGACTTAGAAAAGGCATTTGATAGTACTCCAAGGAAGGTGATTGACATATGTTTAAAAAAGAAAGGTGTGAAAATCAAACTCAGGCAAGCCATTATGAGTATATAGACATACGAGGAACAGAATCAGAACCGATAATATGGAATCCGAAGAGTTCATAGTAAATGAGGGTTTACGTCAAGGAGGAGTCCTAGGCCCCATGCTGTTTAACATTGTCTTGGATGACATAATTAAAGAAACTAGAGCAGAAACATTAAAATTATATGTCGGGACATAGAAATCTAGAAGCAGTGCGGATTTCAGAGTGTGCATTCGCAGACGATCTAGTGATATTTGGGATAAATAAAGAAGCACTGGAACGCTGCACTAATTAAAACGAAATTTGAGGATCAATAATGAGAAGAAGAAAGTAATGGTATGTGGAAAAAATAGAAAACAAACGAAGATAATACGTAACGGAAATACACTTGAACCTGTAGGTTCCAATAGAGATTTCTCACTATGTTAATGTCATTTTCTCTTTAGACATTCCATAAGAATGTTATGTTTACCTTTGTCGAAAGCTTTCTCATAGTCTTTAAACGCAACGAAAAGATCTTTTTGTTGGTTCTTCCATTCTTCTTCTATGAAGTGGAATTATACCACTGAGAAGGACTGCTAGAAAACATCTCATTTCAGTCCAGTTGATGCGCCTTGCTTGGATCTTCTATGATGCGTATCGATTCGTATTTTTATGTGAGCATTTCTGAGTTCGTTAAAAAAAAAATTAGGAAAAAAATGTAATCATGTAATTAGCGGATTTTGAAAATAACAAAATAACACACAAAGGTAAAAAATCTACTTATTATAACATATATTTTCTTTATGTAGATTCATCGCTGGAATATCAGATGGTTGGAGCTTCTCTTCCGTTCCAATGTACACTGGAGAGGTATCAGATGCAAATAAAAGAGGCATGTTTGCCTCGTGGAGCAGTATTTCATTTATTTTTGGAATTTTAGCTGTAACTTTGTTGGATCCTATTGAGTATACAACACACTGCAATAGTAGGCGGCGCCATACTGTATTATTGATTTTAACGTTCATGTGGATGCCTGAGTCTCCTTATTATTACATCGTCAAGAACAATTTAGAAGGTAAGTAAGACAAATATATTAATTTAAAATTCTGTATGGCGATATAGGCTAAGGTTGATATTTAGAATCATACTAACATATTTTCCCATCCATTCATGTTCTTTTCATTCTCAAGATTTCGGAAAAAAACAGAAGAATAGGAGTTTCTTCTGATATAGAAGAGTACTACTTTAATGTCGGTAAATAGATAATAAAGTGTCATATATTATACACATTTAATTGTTTTTTCATTGTAATTTCTTTACGAGAAAATGAGGAAATCCATCAATATATTAAGGATATGAAATTACATCAGTGTATAATGAGCTGCATATCGATTAGGCGTAACGGAAAGTATCTCACTAACGGAAGTATTTATTTTGATGTGTCAAAATCACTGTTTCAATTATCAAAGGAATCAGTTTCTGGTCTTGTCTAGATTTGTTGCATGAAGTGAACAAACCACAAGGTTCGGTCTTGGTTTTAAGAATAATTCAATTTTTGTGGACCATAGAATGAAATAAGTTATTCGATTTCTTATTGGATGTGGATTGAAAAATGATAATGATGTAAATGGGACATTTTTATACAGATGATAACAATGAATGGGGAAAAGGTTTACATATTGAAGTCTGATGCCGTTATGTTTGTTAACAAATATGTTAATGTTAATAAATGTTGTGACTTGTGTGGAGATGATGTTTGGATTCTTCGACTGATACAACAAATTTCTTAAGCTTCGTAATATTAATTCATTTGTAAAAGATTTTTATATAATGAGGAACTGATTGTTTCGATTAAGACTGAATGGGAGATAGATGCTTATGAATACTCCTATTGATATTATTTAGTAGTAATCACTTTCGACAACAACTTGTTTTACAGAAAAAAATTCTCAAGCAAGCAAGCAATTTGATTGAACCCAGCCTATGAGAAATGTTCACCCAGGTAGTACGATCGGGGTGTAACAATTCATTGGAGCAAGGTGTGTTAACTCGAGTAAAACAGGAGTCACCCCACCGTGCTCCAATGCTCTAGACCATCTCTTTCCCCCCTATAGCAATCTGATTTCGCTATACAGGCACAACAATCAGCCAAGTGCTATTCATGTGGAGTTCCTGGGTAATAGAACCCCAACATGGTTTCCTAACCGAATGCAAAAACTCAGGACAGCGCATCTCCGCTATATTCCTGTTATCTTAATATGGCTTATCCGCATACTAAATTGCTTACTTGGGCCTCAAGTCTCCGCTCTGAGTCCGGCTCAGTTCGGCGACTTGGTGCTTAGGGGGTTGGGCCCTACGTGCCCGGCTTTTGGGGTTTTTGTTAGTTTTTTTTGGTAGCCGAAGCCGGTTTTTTGTTAGTATTTTTTTGATTTTTTTGGTGGCCGAAGCCGGTTTTTTGAGGAAAAAAATTCTACAGCTCGACTCAAATTGCTGCAAAAGCCAATTGATTTGGAGATAATAGTACAGTAATACTTCGATTTACGCTACCCAAACTTTCGCTAATCCGGAGTTACGCTATTTTTAATCTCGTCGATTTCAACTTAACATAATTAAAGATATTAATAAAAAAATTAAATTTTGTGAATTAGCAAATAAGTTTAATCTATTAAATCGATGGCCACAAGGCAAAAAAAATTTTTCGAAGCTGTTAAAGATGCACAATCTTTAAATTCAACCATTGTTCCTTAAGGTCATGCCAGTATTGCCGAGATATAAACAGTGTTAAATATGTGGTGTGATAATCAAGTAAATGTGAAAAATTGTTTTATTGATTAGAATGCAGTATACTCGCAATCTAAGTGGATTTTTAAGACTTTAAAAGAGGATTCTGGAGAGATCTCTAAAAATGAAGATTTTAAAGCTAGCAACGGTTGGTCCAGCTGATTCAAATTTCGCTGTGATTGGCACAGTTATGCAGAAAAATTAAAAGATATGGTAAATGAAGGTGGCAACACCCCATCAAAACATATTCAATGTAGATGAGCTAAATCTGATTGGCATGTGATTTGGAAGTCTAATAATAAAGCTTGTATGACAGATTTTCTTTAAGGATTGATTTGGTCTTCATTTTAATATCTAAAGTCGAATGTTATTGTCAATTTAAACAAATTTTATCTAAAGTGATACCAATCATCGACAATGCAACAGGTCATTCTCCTGCATTTTTTACTAATTTTGACCCACGTATGACAGTTGAATTTTTACCAGCTTACTTGAACCGATGGATCAAGGAGTCATTAAAAAATTTAAAGCTTATTACATCAGACGATCATTTGTAAACCTATATAAAGTTATAAGAAAACCAATGGGCTCTCTGTTAAAGACTTTTGAAAGTAATTCAACGTTTTAGATGCAGTGAAAATTATTGTAAAAGCTTGGAATGAAATCTCACAAAAAAAAATACATTACTAACATTAGTACTGTTTGTATTTTGAGAACAATTTTCGAAGTGAAAATTGAAAAGTCAATAAACGTACTTTAACCTTTAATTGTGGTTTATTCCCATTTAAATAGTAATTACTTTTGAAATACCACAAAAAAATAGCTTCGTTTTTTAGGAGATTCTTCGAAATGACTCCAGTGGTAGAAAAAATAATAGGTATCGTCTGAGTACTTTCCACTCTCCATTGTCTCCTTATTTGTATTTCCAGATCTCTGTACTTGGCGTTCTTTTCGTTGTACTTAACACGCAGATTATTGTTGTTAGGTATCACCACATCGATTAGTGCTTTGGTCTCGTTAGTTTATTAATTAGCACGAGATCTGGTCTATTATGTGCTACAGTTTGGTCTGTGAGCACAGTGCGAGCCCAGTATAGCTTGTAGTTGCCATTCTCAAGCATACTCTCAGAAACATATTGATAATACAGGAGATGGTTTGTTTGTAAAAGTCCCAGTTTAAAAGCTATCTCTTGATGGAGGATCTTCCCTACTGAGTCATGCCGTTTCTCATATACAGTTGCAGCAATTGGTGGCAGGCCCCTGTAAACTGTTCAATGATTTCTTAGGCTTGACATTCATATCGGCTTTTGTCGTTTAGGGACCTGAGTAATTTTGACGATATATTTCACGTTATTTTTTGTTGGTATAGGGGCCTGCGTAGCGCAAGCGGTAGTGTGCTTGCCTCGCATGCCGGTGGTCGTGAGTTCGAATCCTACCGCCGGCAAGAACAACTAGGCATTTTTAAAATGTCTATAGGCCCCAGGTCGACTCAGCCTGAATAAAATGAGTACCTTGGGTAAAACCAGGGGTAATAATAGGCGGTTGAAGCGTAGCACTGGCCATGTTTACCTTCCTTGTATACGTAGGCCCTAGATATAGCAGACTACCCTGCTATACTCCCAAAGCCGCGTGCGGTATAAAACGGGAGACTATTATTATATTTTTGTTGGTTATAACATGATTCTAAATAGTAAATAATGAACCTTCGGTTTCAGAGAACATCTTTCTTGATGTCAACCAATAGTTTGACGCTATATTGTCGACAGAGGCTTGACTGACTTCATTAGATGTCGCCCATGCAGAGTTTTATCCATCCAGATGTAGATTTTTTCGTTCTTAGTAAGACGGTTTATCCGCATATCTTGTTCATTTAGGTTGTATTAACGTGTGTCATATACTGCGCAAGTTCTTAAATAGTAACCTGTTTTTCTAATTGCTCGCTTATATCCATAAGTCCTCGTCCTCTAAATACCGCGGTAATGTCGTTCTTTCTATTGCATTTATTTATTATCTTATTATCAAGGCAAATATTAATATTTATTATACTTTTTTCAATAAGTGTGAGACCTACTAGAACATAACACTTTGATAATCAAATATACTAAATTCTAAACATTTTTAGGTGCTAAGAAAAGCCTTAAAATTTTTAAGAGGATCAAATGACGTGGATACGGAATTGAACAGAATCGACAAAGCAGTCAAGCTGACCTTACAAAAACCCGCACAAATCCCCTACATCTATTCACCCTAAAAAGAAAATCGAAAGCTGTACTCATAATGTTGTTATGCCGAGGAACACAACAGTTTTCTGGTAACTCAGCGATATCGTTTCTACGCTCAGAACATATTTAACTCAGCCGGTAACTTCATGTCTGCTGAGCTGGCTTCCAATCTGTTTTTTCCTAACTCAGTTAATAGTTACAATATTGGCGTCGACCATCGTCGACAAAGTTGGAAGAAGGCCTTTAATATTGATATCTGTATCTGGAGTAGGAATCACTTTAATGATAGAAGGAATATATTTTTATTTAAAAACCTTAATAGATGTTAGCAGTTTTGCGATGGTACCGTAATAGCGCTCTTAGTATATGTTATCTTTTTCAGTATCGGTTCTTCAAGGCGTTCCAATTATCATTTTAAGTGAAGTTATTTAACGCTGATATTAAATCAGTTGCACTGGGATTCGCAGACATTTATTTTGCTATTCATTGCCACCCTTACGTCAAAGTTCTTTCAACTTACCAGAGATCACTACGGTATGTTTGTCCCGTTTATTTCCTTCTCTACAATTTGTGCCATTGCGGTTGTTTTGATGTTCTTTATGGTTCCTGAGACGAAAGGCAAGACCTTGGAGGAGATTCAGGATTATTTTAAAGGAGTCAAACATTCCAAATCAACAAGTGAAATCTAGTAATGCTTGAAAGTCACGACAAACAAATTATTGTGTTCAAGTCAACTTCTTGTTCTCTATCCCTTAGTCTCCCTTAATCTCAAAATAGCAAACAAATTATTAGATAAAACAGACAAAACAGATTACTAGATAAAATATATATAGGTCTTAAGGGGCCAGAGCATTGGCCAGACTATTTTCTATTAATAAAAACAATTATGAATTGAGTTAGCGGTTATTTGATGTAAATTTAAGTTCAATAAAAATTAAAACAAAATATACAGAAACTTCATCATCTATCAATCTTCCAAGCTTCAAAAGTGCACTGCTGAACATAGATCTCTTTCTCTTGTTTCCAACCCCGTCTATCTTGCGATACTATCATTTTATCATCCCGGTTTTTTATAGCCTTCTCCGCCTTCCGGTTCCCAGTTTCCAGCTACGTCGCTCATTCCATTCGCCAGGGTGAAGGTTTCTTTCCGACATTGCCTTCTGAATGCCGCCCAGCCAGGATTGTTTTGGCTTTCCTCTCTTCCTTCTTTCCCTTGGCGTCCATTTTAAAATTGGCAGCCTGTCGTCGTCCATTCTTTTCACATGACCATACGAGATCAGTTGTCTCCTTTGAATTTCGTCAATGATGGTTGACTTAACTCCATTATATTTCTGATATGGTCATTTTGTATTCTATCCAGCATTGATTTTCTAGCTGATCTTCTCAGAAGTCCATTTCCAAAGCAAGTAGGCGACGCTCAAGGGATTTAGTAAAGTTGCCATGTTTCGCATCCATAGAGCACTATACTTTTAAAGATGGAGTTAAAGAGGAGATGCTTTCTTTGATTTGATAGTTCTTTTGAGCATAGCATTGGGTTTAGGCATTCTATCACCCTTTTTCCTTTCACGATTCTTTGCTCTATCACTTTTGCGATGCGCCCACTCTTGTTGAGTGTTGTTCCCAAATATATATATTCCTCACAGTTCTTGATTGTTTCATGTTCGTTCACCATTAGATCTTCTACTTTATTCCCGATGCATAAGTATTGCGTTTTGTTTCTATTTACAGAGAGGCCCCATTCTTCATATGTTTTAAACACCCGTCTCGTCATGAATTCTAAATCTTCTTGAAGATTAGCCTAGTCAAGCCTAGTCTGCTGCCACTACTACTTGGTCGTCCGCAAAATGTAGAGTGTATAATGTTGTATCGTCGTCAAGTTGGATCCCCATTCCTGAACAGGATCTTCTCCAGTCTTTTAGTCTTCATTTAAATAGATCTTAAATAGTATTGGAGAGAGGCAGCATCCTTGTCGTTAAGCCTTTTGTTTACTGGAAATTCTTCTAATAAGGTGTTGTTTAGTTTGATTTTTGATGATGCTTTATTGTATAATTGTTTGACTGCGGCGATGATCGTTCTATTTAATGAAGATCGTTCAAGAGACTGTCACAGCTTTTTCACAGAAATCGTGTCATATGCTTTTGTAAGATCCACAAATAAAAGATGTATTTCCTGGTTTCTTGCAACTTTCTTTTTATTCAGTTGTGTTAGGGTAAATATGTGGTCTACGCAAGATCTTTCCAGCTCTAAATCCTGCTTGCTGTTCAATTTCATGTGGTTCGTATTCTTAATCAATCATGTTTTTTAAGATTTTACCAAACAGCCTGCTAAAGGTACTGGTGACAGAGATACATCTGTAGTTTCGCAATATTATCGCGATACTATCATCCAGTTTTTATTTTGTCTTCATAAATCGTCAGTTCGTCACGTAGGTAGCTTCTCTTATCTTCTCTTCGTCTCCATTTTCAATAACCTTTTTGTCCATCACCCATCTGTCACATTTAGTCTGGGTATCCTTCCGATGACGTCAATCACCCTGGATTTTCTCTTTACCAGTTCCTGTTATACGTTGCATCGCAGTGTAATTTCTAACATGGATTGCTCCATTCTCTGGAATTCTATCTAACAAAAGTACTTGTTAGAGACCTATATCAACTAGTCTCATGGGAAAATAGTTAGTTTCCTAGTCCAATAGGAAGAAGAAGAAGATTGAAAAATGGCAAAATAAAACAATCCTTGTAGGAATTTTTTATTTTTATATTTGGGACACAATTATGATAAGGCATTTATGACCTATACTATTATAATTGGTTAATGGTTTGATTTAATTTATTTTAACGATCAACATGTTGGTATTTTTATTTATTTCAAATAATGTGTTCATGTACATACGGTATGGTGGAAATGAAAGGAATAAATTTATATTTCGTAACCCGGCACTTGAATGAAAAACCTGAAACCCAATAATTTTAATTTTTTAACCGGTTATTTGATAGGATACCTTTTTTATTTTAGAGTAAACTCTTCTTTTTAAGAATGACCATTAAAAATCAATATGAGTCAATTCGGGTGACCTGGGCAGTCATCAATGTTCCTCTTCAATCTAGTCCGAAAGTACAAGTCCAATAATCCCGCCCAAGCATTAACTTTCTCTGGGTATTTTGTGCTGTACTCTTGCATCTAGTGTGAATTTTAACTAACACAGTTTAGTAGAAATGTAGCTTTATCAAAGAAAAGAAACTTTTTTAAAAACAACGGATCTCTGTTATTTTGTTTCATTATAAATTCACAAAATTCAATTCGTTTATCAAAATCATGTTTCGTAAGCTCTTTTACTAAACTTGTACTAATCCATTTCCATTGCCTCAAGTTTTCTCTTGTATTTTACTTTATTTGACATACTTTACTACTGTAGGTAATTATACTTTTAATAATTGTATTATATATCTTGCGATTGTTATTATTAGAGATTGGTTGACCCTAAAGGATACTATTGAGAAGGGAAAGTGCTTTTCTAGCTTAGTTGTTTTTCTCCCCATTGTGTCGTCTACGTACGTTGCCTTCTTTTGTGATGAGCCTACCTAAATATTATGTGTTGAAATGTTTGAAATGTTAAATTCTCCATCCTCCATTATGAGGTCGTGTTGTTTACCGCATATACATACAGTGGGTGATCAAAAATTATTATGATCACTTCAAAAAACTTTATATTTTACTGTTTAATAAAGAATAAAACTAAATTGAAGTGTCTAATATGTGATTATATATAAAAATAGGTCATAAACCACGTTATTTTACAAAATTTTAAAATATTTTTTTCTTTGACCTTAAATAACATTTTTTTTTAATATGTTGTGTGACCTAACTTTAGCTTTCGATGACAGCTTTGATCCTCCTTGGCATGCTTGAATGTTTCTCAGGCAGTTTTCTTTTATTTTATCGTTTCTGTGCCAGGTGGCAATGAGTCTCTCAATTAACTGCTGCTTATTTGTGACAATTTCCTGGGCAAACCCCTCTTCATAAGCTCCCATAGATTTTCGATCGGATTAGGGTCCTGGGGAATTACCTGGACACTTCAGTACTTTAATTTTCTTTTTTCAGGTACGATATTACTCTTTTTACCTTATGGGACGGTGCTGAATCGTGCATAAGGTAAAATCCTCCGATTCGCCAAACCAGTCTTTGATTTGTGGCATGAGTTTTTTTTTTCCAGAACTTCAATTTACTGATGTTGATTCATCATTCCATTTACAATGTACAGCCTCCCTGTGCCCTTACTGCTGATCAAGGACCATCCATAATCTTGAGAGGATGCTTTTCTCGCTCCACTATGCAATCCTTATGATATTTTTCAACCACTCGCCTTTTCGGACGAAGCCCCGACTTATCCATGAGTATCTCCACTGTAGAATCATCGGAGAAACAAACGTATTTGTGAATAAAAAAAACTATAAGATATTTTTTTAGGATAAAAACAGTGGTTATAGTGATTTAAACTTTAGTAGTGACGTAATTTACCTTATTCAAATCCTCAATTGTCCAATTTTGGTGTTCTTTGGCCCATTCCAGTCTCTTTTTCATCATTACGATGGTCAACTTTGATTTTTTGCAGGGCGACATGATTTGAAACCTTGCTCAGTAAGCCTTCTGCGGACTGTCATGTCAAGAAACTGGCATACCAGCTTCACGAATAGTCCTGTAGGGATTCTTCTTGGCTTCTTTCTATTGTTTACGAAATATCCCTCATTTTTCTTCGTCTCTGGGTGTAGTGACACGCTTTCGACCACATTTTTGGGCACGCTGGTGAATCAGGGGTTTGTTGGTTTCATTTTTTTCTTGATATTGCCTCACTGTTGCTTGCGCTACTTGGCATTGTTGAGCTATCTGACGTTGGGAAAGCTTTGATTCAATAAAAGTGTCTTTATTTCCCCATTTTAGACACAGGGACGTCTTTAGCCTTACCCATTATGATTTTCTTCTCAAAAATCGAAATGTTTTGAAAAGTCTTTAAAATTAAAACTGATATTCTTTTTTCACTCACAATCACCACTAATAAATTAATAAAACTATACAAAGATTAAAACGATACTAATCTTTCAAAAACAATACAAAAATACAAATTCAGTTGTAAATCAAAGTGTAAATTCACCACAATGTGTAAGATGTTGTCACGTAATTTGACACAAATGACAGTTATAGAGCGGTTTAAACGTCAAAAAGTAAGGTTATCAGTGACAAAATATATTGGCATACTTTAATTGTATATCAGCATATAATTTTTTATAAAAATTTCTGAACAAATATGAAAAACTTAAATTTTTGTGACTGATAATAATAATTTGATCACCTACTGTACCTATACTTTGTATATACCCACTGTATATACTTGATTTTTTGGATATTGATTTCAGATCACCATTTTTTAAACTCCTCGATTACTTTTCGAGTTATATACTCAATATCTTCATAATCTTGTGCTATTACTAGTTGATCATCTACAAATGACAAAGTGTATGTGCTATTGTTGTTAATCGGCATTTCCATAATTCTACATTTGCGCTTTCACAGTCTTGAAGCCTGTTCTAGATAAATTTTAAATAATGTCGGGAATAGACAGCAGCCTGCTTAAGGCCTTTATTTGAGTTCCAACAACAAATAAACATTATTGATCCAGTTGTGGGTAGACAAAAAACTTTTTTTGT